TTTGTGTTAGGGTGTGTGCGAAACCGTCCATTCTGGGGCATCCTTTAGGTTAACAGCTGGTGGCTGGTACTGGCACGACTGGGTGTGAAAGGTGAGTCAGAACCAGTAGTGCTGCCTCTTGGCAGATGAATGGGACTAGAGTCAATGGTATCAAGTCAGTAGGAGCCAAAGGGTCAGGGCAGGGCCCTGTAACACCAAGAGTTCAAGGCCAGCAGGGCTCAAGGACCAGAACTCAGTGACCTGTCCAGGGCGGGAACATCCCTCTTCGCTGTAATGTTGCGGAATCGGAGCACGATGTGGATACAGAGAAAAACAGCAATGGCGTCGTAGCAGTCAGCGAGATAGGACTCCAGGTGCTTCTGTGATTTAGGAATAGGCAGAGGATTGAAAGAGAGCGCTACTTTGTCCTTCCCAGTGGCTAAAGACAAATGCATGTGCTCTTTTGGGGATGTAGCACTGGGAGGGAGGGCAGAAGGGAGGGGAGAGAAACCTAAAAGGGAAATGCCCCCCCTTCTCTGTCCACTGGCCACTCGGTTGGTCCTGCTGTCGTGCTCACAGGATCTATGATCTCAGGCCTAGTACAGAATTCAGAGCTGAGCACCAAGGTTTAGGGGCCCCTCAGCTATTGCCTGGGTGTGGATCAGCAGTAGGGGTAATCTATTTTGAGGGTTTTGTAAGGAGTCACTGTGAGTACAAGGCTTAGATGTTGCAGAATAAGGGGTCCTGGTTTCATTACCACCAGAGCTGTGACCCTCCTAACAGTGCAGGTCTGAGAACACAGGAGCGAGGGGTCTCACCAGGGTCATGCTGAGTGTGCGGCCCATGACAGCGTGGAAGAGGTCGTGCGCAGCCGGGCCCGACACAACAAAGAATTCACAGATGAAGAGATATTCCCGGCAGGAATTGTCCAGGAGGGCATAGTGCTGGCTGCGAAAGAGGGCCTCAAATGGATACTAGGATGGGAGGGTAAAGAAGAGAAACAGAGGGATGAACCCAACATTGACGCCCTGAAGAAATGGCTGGGAAGTCAGCAAACCTGGGCACTGAGAGCTCAGGAGACCCTTCTCGTCAAACCCAAGTCTAGGCTGTTTTGAAACAGCATCCTGAATAGGTGGTTACTGAAGGGGGAGAGGGGTACAAGAGAACAGCCCTCCCCCCACCCGCTGTGGCCACACCTGCCTCAGGACATGTCACTCCCCTCAGGGAATCTCTTCCCCTATGTGCTCTTAAGCCCATGGTCCCAACCCTCTTCGCATCACAGAACACTAAGGAGATCGGAAAAGGCCGCTCCCAGGTCCTGGGATGACAGAAGGGCCAGCAGGGCGGGAAGCTCTGACCTTCCCACCCACCCCCGGCCCTCCCATCTCAGCATCACCCTATGACTGAAGCGTGCTCTCCCTCCTACCCTCTGTTCTCCCCGCTGGGCGGTGTGAGGCACCAGGATGGGGGCCTCCAGCTCAGTGGGGGAGATGACAGAGCCACGAGTCCCCAGGGTGAAGATGGTGTTTCTGCTTCGCAGGGATGGCTTTGAGAAGAATCGTGAAGGGTGAGTCAGGGAAAACAGTAAGATCACAGCTGTGACTGAAAATCAGACTCAGTACCTCGGGGCCTCCGGGAGCTGGACACAGCTAGATGCCCCTCTTTTCCGGAACTAGGGCCCACTTCACCTGACATCCATGAATGTGCTTCAGGAAACCTCTCACCCCGACATCATATGCAAAACCAAGTATCAGAATGCTTTCCTTCTGGGAAGGATGGCCATAGCCCTCATCACATTCTCAAAGGGTTTGGTCCCACAGAAAAAGGTCAGAAGTAGTGCCTTGGAAGCTAGAGTCAGAAGCCCCCTCGCTCTCCAGGCCTAGCAGAGGGTTCCTCAGCTCTAGGATATCTTTCTTTGCTGTGTCTTCCACACCCATTAGGTCATCTTTCTCAGCAACTTCCTCATACTAGAGAAAAAAGAAAAGATCTGGTAACCATTTCTTCCCATGGCACCATAAAAAACGTGCCTCTATGTTGTCCCCCCTTGCCCAGTGGTAGTCCTTCCTCCCAGCCCAGGTGCCCAGGAATGTTTCCCCCTCCTTGGCCTCACCTGCACCTTCATGAGCCGCCCCAGGTAGGAGCGGTAGTAAGACAGGTAGATCTTGCTCAGCGTCTCCACATATTCATCTCGGATCTCCTTTGCTGTTGCTCTTTCATTGCCCAGCAGGAACTGATAGAAGAACCTGGAGGGGTCAGGGACCTGTAAGTTTCCCTGCCTGCTGAAGAAACCAGAAACCACACTTGGCTGCTCAAAGCTCAGAGGCCATCCTCCCATGGTGACCTGTACTTCAGCAGGGCCGTCTGGGGGATCTGATAGTTGGTCATTGGTTTTCTGAAGGAATAAATCTTCTGAAGGATGAACTCTCGAATCTTCGTCACTGCCTAGATATGGGGGACCAAACACAGGGCATTAAGCTGCAACATTCTTACTACTGGGAGTACTGGAGAAAATGACAAATGTTAAAGGGAGGAGGAGGAAGGGTGGAGAATACCTCTTTCATTTTTTTTTAAATTCTCAGGGGAACCCAGAGATGTGAGCCTGAGCTCTGCCAGGGAAATCCAGAGTGAACATGTTGGGGAAGCTGGTTCTAGTCTCTGGGCTATACACCCACCCCTCACCTTGACCCGGAGCCGGTCGAGCACACCTCTGACATCTGCACAAGCCGCTGTACCTCTAGCCTCCTGCTCTCGGACTGCAGCTGCCTTGGCATCCAGTTCCTGCAGCTGTTCCAGGAATCTGGGCTCTGTCACTGGCGCCTCCAGAATTGCCCTGGGTAGCAGGGAGGGGTGGGATAGGTTAGGAGGGAGACCCAGACATGTCTAGACTCCAAATTCCTTACATCCAGCCTGTGTCTCCTTTCCTTCTTACACTGTATCGTAGTCAGGCTTTACATAGTTTTCTATTCCTGGACCCCTCACTACACCCCTAATCCTGGATGATTCCTAATCTTTGATGCCTAAAGCATGCATCAAGGTTAGAAAGAGTTGTCAACCCAACCTTCAGCTTATGGAAGGTACTTGGTGACCTGGAGCCAGGAAATCCATGTGGTAAGTAGGTCAGGTCAGCCCAGCCCACCTACCTGCTATAGACCTTATGACCCTTCAAACTAGTAACTCACGTGACCAGAGCAGTGGGCACTACCAGACCATCGACAAGCTCCCCAAGTTTCCCACGAACTGCCTGGCGGTTTCGAAGCCGAATGTTCATGGCTCCTGACTGTTCCTGCAGTGTCCGGATCTCAGAGCTGATGGAGCTGAGGTCACTCTGAAAAGCTCCCAACATCTGCTCCATGCGCTGGAGAAAAGGTAGAAGATGTTGCTAGAGCACCAGAGGGGACAAGTGGGCCACCTAAGTGCATTGGTGAAGTCCCCAGTATCGATCAGCCCATGAGGGTAGCAGGTGATGAGGGAAGAGGTACCCCAAAGGTCACTGCCAAATAACATTAGTTATGGCAATAACAACAAAAAAGGTTGCTGAGGTCATACTGCAAGTGACTCTGTCCACACTTGAGGTTGATGACCTAAAGAAGGCACTGGGGACCATGATCTAGTTCAAGGTTATTTTAGAAGTTACAGGTCATGGTCACTAACCTACCTCAAGGACAGCATCGCAGGCTGTGATCTGGTTGTGCAGAGATGCTATGTTCTCACTCTCTTGGATATCTGACCCACAGAAAGTCAAGGGGCCTCTCTGTAAAGATGGAGATCCCCAGATCTGCAGGACCTTTCCAATTTCTCCCTGAGATGATAGAAACCTCAGAGAGAAGATGTCACCCCCAGTTAGGCTGTCTGCACCATGCTCCACAAATCCCTATTTTAATAACACCACCCTTTCCCTCTGCTGGAGGATACAATCCCGAATGGATTTCTGCTCAATCTGCTGTAGTTCCAGCTCAACCTGCTTTGAATAGTGACGGAGATCCACACCCTGGGAGAACATAAGCATGACAGGTCAGGAGGAAGTTACAGTGAGGGAACACTAAACAGAATCAACAGAGGACTAGAGGGTAAGATACCAGGATGATATTATAAGCACAAAGGACTGTTTCCATATTTTTTTTCTTTAAGGGGAGGGTAACAGGGGGCAGGTTAGCAGAGTGGAAAGCCTCACCGTTTTAAGAGCTTCCTTTACTAACTCGTCCTCCAGATTTGCCTGAATGTGAACTGGAAAGAAAAGTTTATTATAAGGGTTCAGTTCCACAGCTCCCTCTCCCCACACTGAACATGTGCACACCAATCCCTGCCTTATTACTTCCAGCCCCCATGCCCCTCAGATAGGCACTCTGCATCCACCCGGTGCCATCACTTACCATCCACTTCATCCAGGATAAATTCATCAGAGGTGATGTCCAACTCTCCAAGCTGCAATGGCTCCTGAAGACCAGGACCACCCCCCTGGAGAGGGAGAAGTTAATGAGAAAGGATACAGGGAAAGAAGGGAAGAACAAAATATAATGGGATAATCCCTAACCCTTCAATGGGGAGGAAGGAACATTTACTGGGGAGCCATAGGTACTGAGTGAAAAAATTCCAATTTATGACGGGGCTAATGGGCAGGGAATATGATAAGGAGCCAGGCAATCAGCAGAGAATGGAGGTGTCTGATGAGAAAAATTAGGAGTTGCAGAGGACAGAGCAGAACTTGCAGTTCTATCACAATCTCTCTGGGGAGCTCGTCTTTCTAGAAATGTCAGCTAACACACTGTTTACCTGCATGCCAGGTACTACTCATTCATCTAACCAACAACCTATATGACAGGTTTTATTATTTTCTTAACCTTATAGGTATGGAAAGTGATGGCAAAGAGGTAGTTACCTTGCCCAAGGACACAGGGTGTGAGTAGCAGAGCTGGAATTAAAACACAGGCAATCTGGCTCCAGAGACCATGTTCTTAACCTTTAGACAGCACTGCTTCTCTATTCTGCCCGCAAATCTGGAGGTTAACTGAAATTGTGCCCCGGGGATCGGAGTCGACCCTTCTGGTCCCTGCTCAGGCTCAGGTCCGAGCCCAGGGAGGGCTGCGGAGAGCATCTCTGGTAAGCGGCTGAACTCCCACCCTCTGCCTGAACCCGGCCCAGGTCTTTCTGACGCGAGGACGACTGAACGAGATTCCGGAGGAGAAAAAGCCCTGCGTTCTCACCAGCGGGCCCTCCTCCTCCTCCATGTCCGAGGCCCCGGCCCGCAACACCAGCTCCCGGGCAGCTGCCGCCATGGTGGCCGCGGCGGCCATTCCGCGCAGCCTCACTTCCGGCAGCTGTCAGTCGCGGCGAGGCTGTTCTCCCGAGTGGAACTACAAGTCCAGGGTGTGTTGCGCAGCGCGAACTCGTTCCCAAGGGTTTGCGTTAAATCGCTTCACTCCAGCCTTCCCTTTCAGCTCTGACCACTTCACTCAAGCACCAATGGGAACTGAAACTTAGCACAGTCGCACCCGGAACCTTCGCTGCTCTCACACCCCAAAACTTCACGAGCCATAAAGAGACCGCACCGGAAGTCGTGCCAACTAATTCATACTCAGGACTCCAGTGGACTCCCGCACAAGCCGTTTCCGGAAGCTCTTCACCAGGTCGCCCCGCCCCTTCCGCCTGCTAGCTATATAAGACTATTGCGTAACTTCCGCTTTCTCTTCCACAGGAGGCCTACACGCTGGTGGCGCCATGGTAAGACTCAAATCCGTCCGGGGATCCGGCGACATCGAACCGGGGCAGGGAAGGTCTGCTATGAGGGAGCCGAAAACACCCCGTTTTAGGGGCCTGCAACTTCCTGTGTGGAACCTTGGATCGCGCCCCTGGGAAGGAACGACTAAAGACATCCGTTTCTGGGGAGTGGGGCCAGAGGAAGAGTCGCTCCCTGGGCGCTCGAAAGAGGCGAAAGGCTTGGGCGTGTATGGGGACCTCCCGCCTCCGCCGCTCAGAGTGTACTTTGGAAACAGGCAGGAGATTTGTGCTCTCCTAGAGTTCGCATTTCCCCCGAGCCCGAACGTTTCACGTTCCTGCTGTCTGCAGGACTACGGAAGTCGCTGTGTTGTGAAAACCTGGAGGGGGATCGTTGCTCCCTGTGTGGCGAGTTTAACGTTCCTGTTTGAGGTTGTAATGTGATACTAGTTCACCGTGTCTGCTTTCTCCCCCAATCTCTGTCAGTCTCTAGTGATTCCTGAGAAGTTCCAGCACATTTTGCGAGTACTCAACACCAATATCGATGGGCGGCGGAAAATAGCCTTTGCCATCACTGCAATTAAGGTAAAGTAGGGTGAGGAGTGGACAGTGTCAGTGAACCTTAGGTTTTAAGACCTAAGCTGTAAGTGAGGAAACATAAGCCCCAACCAGACCACCTCAGCTGCTGGGGAGTTCCCTTACAACATTTGCCCCGAAAGGTAAGGAAGGAAAGCCAGAGAACAGTCTCAAGCCTAAATACTTCACCTAAGGGGTGGAGAGTAGGTTTGGTTGTCTACCTGAATTTGCTAGAATTTTTCTGGACCATCGGCCATCTTTTTGAGATCATTTTGTGTTTGGTTCCCTCAGTGCATCATAACAGGAACCCTTCCTATGATAGTTATCTGCCCTGTAAATTGGATAATTGTGCATCTTGAGGGGTGCACAATTATGTTCCTAGCGTGAAGAAACATAGTGTGGGAGAGGTGTTACTACGTCATAAGCAGGACATTTTCTCACACATTCCCAGAGGTGAAAGTCATTGCCCCTTTCCAGTTGAAGAGGAAACCAGTACTTGGCTCATTGCATGAAATAAGTTGGTGAGAGCAAGTTTGGGTATCCCCCTTCACCAAACTAATGAGCTCTTGGCCTTCCAGAGGAGGACATTCTATTTTTGTTCTCTGGAATATGTGTAATTATTTGTGGAGATGGCTGAATGACTTCCTTTCCCACCAGGATGTACACTCTCTGGGTCAGAGAGAGCTCTGTCTTGCTCACAGTTCCTAGCTTGTGGTGCGTGATAGGTGCTCAGGCAGTGTTAGGGAATGGATAATATCAGGGATACTGTTGCCTGGTTTTCAAAGAATTTTGAAGGAAACTGATTTACAGAGGAGTGTTCAAAACTAAATCCCAGCTTCATCAGATTCCCTCAGTTTTTAATTATGTACTGCATGGAGCACACTTACTCGTAATTTGTAAGAAGGTTGTAATGCTTTCCTTCTGTCTGGGAACTAGTAAGGCAGTGTAAAATACAGTCGTACCTTTTTCAAGGGTTGTTATGAGACTTAAGTGAGGTGGTAAAGGTAAAAGGTGACCATGGTTAATGGGATGCGTCTGTTAAACTGCCTCTTCAAAATTAGTTGGTTTTGTATTTGTTACCTTAGTTAAATATGTGTCATAACTTTTGTAGTCAATTTAAAACAATCCAAAGCAGTTTCAGGTACTGAGTGAACATCTTGATCAGAAAAGCCTCTTTAGGGATCCTGGCGCCCTGCTTATCATTGGGAAAGGTTATTCCTATAGATGAGTACTGAGGTTTTTGCTAATTTTGTGAAGAGCCAGCAAAGGCAGCTAGCTTTGTCTCTGGTCTTGGAGGTGGTCTTTAGTTTAAGGACCCAGAGTGGGGGAAAGGCAGGCTGATGGGAGGAGTGCCTCAAAAGATGTGGTTAAAGAACTGGTAAGTAAACTTAATCTCAAGGATGGGTGAGGAATGAAATGGAAGATGACATGAGAAGAGGGTATTGAGAGGTAATAAAGATCATGCACTAGTTCTCTATTTTGTGATCCCTCTCTGGTTGTTTTTATTTCCATTTGTAGACTTTTGCTATGGCCATTCTTTAAGGCTGGATGGTTTTCTGCCTTCCTCTAAATCAGAGATAACTGCTATCTGGATTATTTGGAGACATGGAAGGAGGGGGGTGGATTTGGTTACAATGACTACTTTTCTCTAAATACTTTCAGAAAGTAATATTAACTTGGTATCAACTCTTCTGTTATATGGTTCAGGTCCTTTGACTACAAAGATAAGTGTTGGTCCCCTATAGTGGAATCTGGATGGAGAAAACAGGGACGATCTTGGGGCAGAAAAGGGGGTATCTGTGGAGCTAACTTAGGAAATTGGCAGGCCATTACCTAGAGTCAGTAAATAGGGCTTTCAAAAATCTTAGCTTGATGGCAGCCTTTTTAAAACTTGATTATGGAAAGTGTTAAACATTTAAAAGTAAAGGGAAGACAGTTATTAGCCCCTGTGGATACAGTAAAACCTCAATGTAACAGACTAATTTGGGCAAAGGAGTGTCCATTAAAGTGGAAAGGCTGTTATATAATAATGTAGGTTTTCCAGATTGTGTGTGTTAGAAAATTGACAGGTTTTTTTGCCTGTTTTTACTTATATAGACACATTTAGGTATGTATGAAAAGTTTAATTTCACCGAAAGGTTTTCTATATGTATTACAGTAATTATAAATTTATACTGAATAGATCTATTGAATGCCTGCATTCACCACTCACTGCAGGTAAACAAATGCACGTGCCTGGGGGGACATCAGGCCAGCACAGGTCAAAACTGCTGCAGAGCCCGAGCTGGTATGGCTCAGTTGTTTGGGCTTGGTTGAGCCTCATCCCATGCACCAGAGGTGGCCAACTCGATTACCCTTCAGGTTGTGGCGCTGATCCTCTCATGGATGTTTCTTTCTCTTCATCTCCCTCTATCTCTAAAATGAATAAAAACATTGAAAACTGCTGCATAAAGTCACGCCACGTGACAACAGAACCAATTCTCTCTCAAGATGTGGTGTGAACACATGCTAATCATTTGCTGAACATTGTTTATGGGCAGTGACTCTTGCGTTTAAATAAGGAGACTATAGTTGTAGATATGAAATATTTATGTCTGTAATTACTGCAGTGTTTTTTCCAACTAGGGCCTGTTCGCTAAAATTTGTTAAATAACTGAATTTATAACAACAAAAACTACCTTAATTATAAGCAAATCTTGGTTTAAATCATTTTAAAATTGACTGTTAATTTTCACATGAGGCCTGGACTGGAAATTTTGTCCATTAAATCAGGGTTTACTGTATCATTTAGCTAAAAATTAGAAATTTTGTTAAGAGGGAGAGAGAAACATAAATTGGTTGCCTCCCGTACACAGTTCGTCCAGGGATCGAACCCACAGCCTGGGTACGTGCCCTAACTAGGAATTTAACCCGAGACCCTGTCTGTCTGCCTCTTCTAGCTTCTGGTAGTCGCCAGCAATCCTTGATGTTCCTTGTCTTATATAGCTGCATCACTGCAACCCCTTGACTTTATGTTATGTCTTTCCTTCTGTGTCTGTGTGTCCTCTCATTGGATTTAGGGCTGTCCCTAATGTAGTATAACTTCATTCTTATCATATTTCAGGTTCTATTTCAGACTAAGTCACATTTTGAGATTCTGGATGGAAATATATTGTGTGGGGGCACTATTTAACCCAGCCCACCATCCTTAATTATCCAGATCTGTGTGGTTCAGGTGGCAATGAATACCCGTGTTGGTGTTTATATGATGCCACCAGTGTAAGCATTAGTTTCATTTAAGTTTGATTTGGGCAATTAGTTCCCTAGGGCCTGGTCCTCTGTGGGCACTGACAAAATCAAGAGTATGATCTTCAGAAACTGGTCATGGGGTCCCTGACTGGGTAGCTCAGTTTGCTAAAGCACCATCCCAGTACATCAAGGTTGTGGTTCAATCCCCATCGGGGCACATATAAAAATCAGCCAGTAAATGCATAAATAAGTGACAACAAATTAATGTTTCTCCCTCTCCTCACCGCGCCCCCCCCCTCTCTAAAATCAATATATAAAAACATCACGGCTATGCAGTGGCTTGTCCAAAGATTTATGACCTTTAGAGATTCCAGGCAATTGACAGTCCTACCCCTTGATCAAACCTGCTGACCAAAAGACCTTAGTCTTGCTGCTTTGAGGCTGTATCTGCTTTGAGCGCCAGGCCCTTTGTCCTCAATGCTCCTGAGTGCCACTGCTGTGTCTAATAGCCAGTGGTTATCGACAAGTACATACGCTGGGCAATACAAAAGAGAAGCTCCGGCTTTCGGGGTTATCTACCCCAAGTTCTCTGTTCTTGGTCCAGCCCTGCACCTATACAAAATTATTTTCCTCTTTTCTACTTAATCATTAGGTATCTAATCTAGAAAAGGGTGAGGTGCAGGTTGTGTGGGCAAGTATTGCGGGCCCTACCTTTGTGTACTTCATAAATAATAAGGGGCTATAAAGGAAACAACAAAAAATCAAACTCTGACCCAATCCAAAATCTCCTCAGGGTGTGGGGCGAAGATACGCTCATGTGGTGTTGAGGAAAGCAGATATCGACCTCACCAAGAGGGCAGGAGAGCTCACGGAGGATGAGGTGAGGACCAGGAAGGGGGCGGGGGGTTGGCCTACCTTGGAGGGGGCCATCTGGATCTGACCTTTGTCCTGCCTGCCAGGTGGAACGTGTGATCACCATTATGCAGAACCCACGCCAGTACAAGATTCCAGACTGGTTCTTGAATAGACAGAAGGATGTGAAGGATGGGAAATACAGCCAGGTGTGTATTGAGATGAGATTAAAGTCAGGGTGTCCAGTCAGAATTGGTCATAGGAGGTTGGGGGTAAAACAAACACCCCTCACCCTCTCTTCCGAATCCAGGTCCTGGCCAATGGTCTGGACAACAAGCTTCGTGAAGACCTGGAGCGGCTGAAGAAAATCCGGGCCCACAGAGGGCTGCGCCACTTCTGGGGGTGAGTTGGGGTGGAGGTTTCCTTTCCCTTCCCACCCCATCTTCCCACCCAAATCTTTTCTGTGTAATGTGTGTGACCTGTGACCCTTCTTTTCTCACTTGCAGTCTTCGTGTCCGAGGCCAGCACACCAAGACCACAGGCCGCCGGGGTCGCACTGTGGGTGTGTCCAAGAAGAAATAAATTTGTAGGCCTCGTCTGTTAATAAATAGTTTATACACCTACGGCTTTGTGATTTTTCTTGCTGCTTCTGGGGACGTTGGTGGGGAATGCTAGCTATCATGAAGGATCCTGTTGGTGACTGTCCCAAGTCTCGTAGCTGATGTACCCACCCCGGTTGCCCAAACAATGTCCTTGTTTTGTTTAAAACCGTGGAGTCTCTGGAGTCTCTTCCCGCTCCTCTAAGGTGTCAGGAAGTGGGAACATCAACACTCGGCCTTCAGGGGGAGCCCAAGCAGTTTTCCCCGGGGCTGGAGTGCAGAGTGGTAGGTAGGTTGAGCCTAGTCAGTTCCATCTCCGGTGAGTATTTGCAGGTTTTGGCCACCCTAGGTTACTAAAATACCGGGGCTCGGTGTCGGGAAGTTGCGGGGGAGGGATGCAGATTTCCTTGACACCGAATTGATGGGCTTCCCGTCCGGAGATGGAGATAACGGCACGGGGGTGGGGAGGAGGACCTGCACCAAGGCGGAGCATTGCCCTGACGGATGACTTTATGCGAAAGGCCTCCCGCAGGATGGGGGGTGCTGCCTGGCGCTGCAGGCTGGGGTTCTGGGAGCGCGCTCCACACCCCGCGAGAGGGGCGGGGCTGTCGCGGGGCGCCGCGCTCAGAGGCCGCTGGTGCCGCAGCTACTCGCCAGCCATGGAGCCGAGTTTCGGGGTGGGGCTGCAGCGACAAGGTAACCTTCCCGCAGCTCCCGTCGGCTCCCGTCGCCTCCCGCGCCCAGTCCAGGCACCTTCCGGTGCTGGTGTCCCAGGCGCTCCACTCGTCCCCTCCCGGGCGCGGTCGGCGAGGGACGCGGGCTGCCGAGAGCCGGTCCGCGCCCAGCCGCCCTCCATCTTTCCCCGCAGGTTCCCGCCGCGTGCGCCACACCATGCCCCGCGGACTCTTCCGGCGCCTTCTCCTCGCCGCCCTGCTGCTGGTGATCGTCTGGACCCTCTTCGGGCCCTCGGGTCTCGGGGAGGAGCTGCTGAGCCTCTCGCTGGCCTCCCTGCTCCCAGCACCGGCCTCGCCAGGGCCGCCCCTGGTCCTGCCCCGTCTCTTGATCCCCAACGAGGACGCCTGTCGTGGCCCTGGCGCCCCTCCCTTCCTGCTCATCCTGGTGTGCACGGCCCCGGAGAACCTGAACCAAAGAAACGCCATTCGGGCCTCGTGGGGCGGGCAGCGCAAGGCCCGAGGGCTTAGGGTGCGCACTCTCTTTCTTCTGGGAGAGCCCGGCAGGCAGCAACCCAACGGGGGCTCCCCTGCGAACGACCTGGCACGGGAGTCAGCGGCCCAGGGGGACCTACTGCAGGCGGCCTTCCGAGACTCCTACCGCAACCTTACCCTCAAGACGCTCACGGGGCTGAACTGGGCGGACAAACACTGCCCCTTGGCCCGCTACGTCCTCAAGACCGACGATGATGTGTTTGTCAACGTCCCGGAACTGGTATCAGAGCTGGTCCAGCGAGGGGGCCGTTGGGAGCCACGGGAGAAGGGCGTGGAGCCCCAGGGAGAGGCCGAGTCTGGAGATGAAGAGTGGGGTGGAGGCAGCCCCACCCTGGGGAGTCAGCCCATGCCTCTTTTGTACCTGGGACGTGTGCACTGGCGGGTGCACCCCTCTCGGACACCAGGGGGCAAGCACCAAATATCAGAGGAGCAGTGGCCTCCCACCTGGGGCCCTTTTCCACCCTATGCCTCAGGAACAGGGTATGTGCTGTCAGCTTCTGCTGTGCATCTCATTCTCAAAATGGCCAGCAGGGCACCCTTTCTGCCACTGGAAGATGTCTTTGTGGGGGTAAGTGCCCGACGAGGAGGCCTCTCCCCAACCCACAGTGTCAAGCTAGCTGGCGCCACCCACTATCCCCTGGACCGGTGCTGCTATGGGAAATTCCTGCTGACATCCCATAGGTTGGACCCCTGGAAAATGGAGGAAGCCTGGAAGCTGGTGGGCAGCTCTGATGGGAAAAGGACTGCACCCTTCTGCTCCTGGCTCCAGGGATTCCTGGGCATCCTGCGGTGTCGGGTAATAGCCTGGCTTCACAGCTGAGAGGAACTGGGCCGTAGGAGAAGAGTGAGGACCTCAGGGTCCAGTCAGCATCCTCACAACCTTTTTCCCAGGCCCAAGGCAACTGGCTGCAACTGAACAGTTCCCCTCCACCAGATGCTCAGTCTGTCACTGAAGACAGGATACAGGGGAAACCCAGGGCCTGGCCTACCAGCCCCAAAGATGAACATCAGGAGAGTAAAACAATGTTGGAGTCATCCCCCCATCCATGGCAGGAGAGAGGCATTTATTGAGGAGCCCCTCAATAAACCTGTCTTTCTACTTCTTTGAGTGCAGTGTGATCCTCACCAGGAGTCCCGGCACACAAACCTGGGGAGCCCGGACAATGCCAGACCCTGCTGACTGGGAAGCACATCTCCAGGGACTTGGGAGAGAGGACAGCCTCTCTGAGGAGAAAGGCCCCTGAAGAGCAAAGATAAGGCCATATCAACCGCAAGACATGGGTGGGGGCAGAGGCAAGAAACCACGACCCCTTGGAGGATAGAGTAGCCCTATGTGGGCAAAGGAAAGGGGACAGGTCCACAGGATGATCCAGACACGTTATCTAAAACTTCACCTTCCTCTTTAATACCAACCCACCCCAGGAGCCAGTTGTCCACTCCCAGTTGGGGAAGAGGCACCTGCCCCCTTCCGCATTTCAGGGAACAGGGTCATTCCCTACAGATGATCTTGGGGAGAGATTGTTCCAGGCCACCCTGGAGCCTGGCTCAGCGCACAAATCTGTCCAGCACAGATGGCCGGGCCTCCGTGGGCTTGGCCGCCTTCTCTTGCTTCTGTGGCTGCTGCTCAAGGCTCTGTCGGACCTTGTCCTGGGGTGTAGAGACAGGCAGAGTGAGAAGTGGCAGGCTGGCAAGGCCAGAGCAACAAGCAGAAAGAGGGTACATCCCGTGGGAGGCCTGGCCCACCCCCTAAATGCTCCTTTACCCTGTGTTCCTCATCCATGACCTTCCTCTTCCTCTTCACCAGGCTTGCTGTTGAGCTTCGGCCCTTCTGCTTTGGCTTTGGCTGGAAGGGAGCCTTGGCCTCTGGGTCATAGCCCTGGGGGAGGGGACAGGAGTGAAGTCTCTAACAGCCTCAGAGACAGGGACTGTGGCAGCACCCACCTGCTGTACCACACTTCTGGGGATGTGGTGGGGGAGGGTGTGCCTGGGCAATCAGGGCTCTGCTCCCTACCAGCCTCTCTATCCGTTCCTTCTTTTCCTGCTCCAAAGAGATGACATCAACCTCTGCCAGGGTTCGTGGGTCCAGACAAATGAGCTCTGCAGGTACCTGGAGGTGTCACAGAGGGGCAGGAATGGGTAAGGAGGGTGACCCCAAAGAGGGAATGAAGCCAGGGAGGCTTCTTTCCAGACCTCAGCATGGGAGCTTTTCCCACCCCTACCCCCCAACCCCAAGCCGCACATGCTCACCTTCTCCAGCAGGGCCTTCACCTCCCACTCCTGCCTCTGCTTCCGGCTCCTATACGGGTTATTCTCCAGGCCGTCAAAGTTGGGCTCAGCAGCCCCTGGAGAGAGGGAAGAGTGTGGAGCCATAAACGGGAATCCAGTTCAGCACTCCGGCCTGACCATGCCCCTTGCTCCCAGCTGTCTCAGGCCCATCCTTGGCCCACTCACCAGGGACCAGCATGCTGGTGATGCCTCCACTGTGCCCCACCCCCAGCACGTCTTCATAGGGGCAGAATTGAAGGCCATGCACGTGGCCTGAGAGCCGGTGGGTAAGATAGGGCTTCTCCAGGGAGGGTGGGCTGGCCTTGCCCTCCCCTGCCCATATGTTGACCACATCGCCCATTCCTGCAGCCAGCAGTCCTCGCTGGGAGAAGGCCAGGTGCCCTGCTCCCTGGGGCAGGGTCCGAGCACTCAGAGGCTGGAATGTCCCTCGCAAGTCAAAGATCTTCAACTGGTGGTCCAGGCCAGAGGTGGCCATGTACCTGGGGGGAAAGGGGGACCAATTAATCTGTAGTAAGGGGTATTGAGCAGGCCTCTGGCGAAGTGCAGGTATCAAGTCTGGTTGGGGAGAAAAAGACCGATAGTAACCACAACCATCACAGCAAACACTGTAGACAGCTTCTTGGTTACACGTCACACGACTCTGTTCTATGTTTATTTCCCTTTTACAGATGAGGAAACAAGCGCAGAGGAAGGAAAGCAGGGTGAGAGGTAGAGCTAGAATTCAAGGCAGGCCTGTTTCTTTAGCATCTGCCCTCTAACCTACTCAAGACATGAACAAAGGGAGAATGCCCATTTAGGTGCACCTAAATGTGATGTCCCACTGCAGACAGAGAGCACGGCGGCTCAGCAAAGGGAAGGGTCAGGAAGATCGACTGCAGTGGTCAGGGAGGACTTCCTGGGAAAACTGGGATGTAAGTCATTCTCAGTAATTCTCAAGAAAGCAGAAGCAGAGATACAGCAGGTACAATGAATGATCAGAGAGGAGGTAGGGAAGCAGAGGCAGAGGTGTTTTCAGGACTGGCAGGAAATATGGCCATGTGGGTCAGCAGAGGACAAGTTGCAGGGCTCTTTCAAGTCATACTGGGACCCAATGCCCTAGCAGTGCCCTCTGGCAGTAACAAGCCACCACTGAAGACTCTAAGGACCTGAGAAAACCTTAGGAGGTAACGAAGCCATGTGCTAGAGGGCCTTACAGCCCTTTCCCTGGAGGGGCAGGCTGCTGAGCAGATCCTCAAGGAATTGAGCACTGCACAACTTGTTCATTTTCCGAGGCTGGAATTTCTGTGTTCAAGCTGTTCCTCAGAGGAAGGCTGAAGAGGAGCCAGCCAGACCAGGTGATGTACATTTGCCAAAGGGCCAAGGCCGCTCTTTTTAGCTGTGGCGGTCAACCCAGGAGGAGGAAACTGAAGAGTTCCTAGGAGCAAAGATTTGCCCTGTGATGGGGCCAAACAGAGGCCCAGATGGATATTTCTCCTGACAAGACAATCAGTCCCAGCTCCACCAAGGGGAAAGGCAATTGGTGCAAACCAAGAATTACTAAGGGCTCTTGGGACACAGGGTCACACCCTTCAATGAACCGACAACTCCAGGGCACATGCTCCTTACCCACCTCTGGGACCCCCTGCGCAAATGCCAGCCCAGTGGCCAGATGGGCATCCAGGCCACACTACCATGTTACTAAACTTGTAAGAACAGTTCAACTTTGAGAATCCAATCCCAATGCAAGTTTCCAGAAAGCCTCTTAAGAAAGACAGTGAGCCTCATCTCTGGAGCCCCTGTGGCTTGTCTGAGGAGGGCTAGAGATAAGCAGGGCTGGACCTAAGGTCAAAGACCAGAGCTGTTCAGCGTCTAAGTGTTGAGCAGACCTCAGTGAACTAGCTGATTAAGCCTGGGAACAAGAGCAGCTGACCCAGGCAGCCCCAGAAGGCAAACTACAGCTCGGGTCCAGCAGCCCACAGAAGACAGAAAGCCCCGGACAGGCCTCCACACTCTCCTATGGCCAGGCTGGCACAGCTATGGAGTCAAGCAGGTGGAACCAAATCACTTGTCCCCAAAGATACAACTCTGGGAGTCTAAGGGGTCTGAGCCTCTGGAAGGCTTTCAAAGGCGGCCACTGTGCTTTCTCTTCCTGATTTCCTTTCAAACAGCTTAAAATAACGTTATATAATTATATTCAATGTAGAAGACTCCTGAGCAGCAGTGTAAAAGGAGGAAAGCAGCTTGTGGGAAAGGTTATTCTGACAAGGCCCGTGGAACAAGGCAGGAGGGAACACTGGAGGCTGGAAACCAGCTGTGAGCACCATGCGTGCCCACCAAGACAGCAGGGATGGAGACAGACGGACTCAGGACCTCTGAGGGGCAAGGCATCAGGACTTCCCAGACAGTCATGAATCGCAGAGCCTGGGCACCCAGAGAGCACTCAAGAAACAGTGCTTTTGATTGCTGCTCTTCTGGAAGGCTAAGGAACATGAGGCTGTGTAGCTAGCCAGGGGTGTCGAAGTCAAATTGTGCGTGACAGGAAACTGTGGCAGAAAAGGAACAAGCAAGGAGGAACCCTGAGTGGGGTGTCCGATCCAGTGATGGACATATCAAGTCTGGGGTGACAGAAGACAACTGAGTAGCAACTAAAGGCCCCACCTGGCCAATCATTCCTGTAAACCACTGCCACGTGTTTTTGTAAAGAAAGTGTAACTGGAACACTGTACCGGGGCAGGCTCAATGGCTGATTCACCCTTATTCCCCAGAACCTTAGCACAGAGCCCAGCGAAGGCGGATGAATGAAAGGAATCAGAGGAAAACACATAGGAGTTTGTGTGAAAAACTGCCTGCCAGATTCAGACTTACATACAAGTCAGAATAGCTATGAGATGAAGACACTCAGGAAGAACAAAAATTCAAAGCAGACCCACCACCCAGCCCTCACATCACCAGCCAGACCTAAAGAGAACGACGGTCTCTAACGATGACGATGCAGCGCAGTGCTCCCTACCCGCTGGGCACCACACTCCACTCTATGTGCTTAACTCGCTTTACGGTCTACAACAGCTTCATGAGCTAAGCCCGGGCCTTGGCAAACTACAGCCAAACAAATCTGGCCCACCACCTATTTCTGTACTGCCCACAGCTAAGAATGATTTTCCATTAAGTGGTTGGAAAAAAATCAAAAGAATAATTTCAAAACGAGAAAATTATATGAAATTGTGGCCACAAATAAAGTTTTATTGGAACACAACCACATTCATTTACTGCTTTTGTGCTACATTAGCACAGTAGAGTGGTCAAGACTTTCCGTCTGTGGCTTTGCACTGCTACTGGAGTCGCAGTCACACAGTTATAACTCGACAGCACTACAAGCATCTCCCAGACCACCTATCTCATTACCTGCCTGTGTGGAAGACATTTTCAAAGACAAAATATGTGCCCTGGCCAGTTTTCTCAGTGGTTAGAGCATTGGTCTGTGGCCTGAAGGGTCCCAGGTTTGATTCCAGGCTAAGGGCATGTACCCCAGTTGCAGGCTTGATCCCTGGCCCGGGTTGGGGCTCGTACAGGAGACAACCAGTCAATGTGTCTCTCTCACATCAACCTCTCTCCCTCTCCCTCTCCCTCTCCTTCCACTCTTTGAAAAACAATGGAATGGAGGAGGATTAAAAAAAAAGATAAAATATGCAAAATCTTTCTACAGATCAGCATTAACAGATACACACTTGCAGTCAAGTTTGATGACCTGGAACACTAACTTTGAATATCAATTAAGCAAAATATCCTCAAAGAGAGGAATCCAATTCTTCCCATTAGTAGACCTGCATTTGAAAAATATTGTATTCAATTATTACATTTTGAATTTCATTGCTTAAAAATTTGTGATACTGTTTTCTCTCTTATTATTTAAGTATCTACATACTACCCTCGATTTTGCCTCTTGGCTAGCAAAGCCTAAAATATTTACTATCTAGCTCTTTACAGAAAAAGTTTGCTGACCCTTGAGCTAGACATTCATGCCCCCACTCTCAGGGTGAGGAAAGTGTGGCACACAGAGGTTATATAATGTGCCCACACCCACATGGCTGATCACTGGTGGCACCAGGATTTAAAACTGGGCAGCCTGATACAGAGTCCGTGCTCCTAAAGGCACGCTGCCTTCCACAGCTTTCTGCCCAGCTGTGACCGACTGCCAGCACCTAATATCCAAACAAGTGACTTACGTGCCTGTAGAATCTACTGCCACAGCCCGGACCCCACCACGGTGACAGAGAATCTTTGCCAGTGGCTCCTTCATGGCTGGACTCCATAAGGAAACAGTACCTGGAGGTCAGAGGAGGAGAGCTAGTTATTAATGGGCAGTGAGAAGATTAAACTTTGGAAAGATGGGGACTCAAGACCAAGAGGGGCCAAGAGAGAAAGGTGAAAGGGCAACTTTAAGGGACTCATGAAATACAAACATAGAAGACAAGCAGGTTAGGATGGTCAGAGAGTCAAAGCTTAGCCAGGGACCAACCATTGCTGTGTCCAAGATGGATGACGGCATTGTAAGGGTTCTGGGTCATGACGTCAAGCCGACCAGCCCGAGCGTTCAGAGCTGCCACAATCTTCCCCACTGACACGTCCAGATAGGTCAGAAACCCTGTCTCTGACTGTGAGAGAGAATGAGTCCTGATTGCCCTGTCCTCCCTCTACTGGGGTCCCAGAGGAGGAACGGTTTTCTCAGGGGCTCCCACCCAGTCCCCGTGCTGCACAGCCACTCACAGATGTGGCCAGGAGAAAGTGGAAAGGCAGGAACTCAAGCCGTGTGATGCGGTCACAGCGGCGGATGCAGTGGAGTTCAATTCCCTGGTTGTCATAGATGTGAAGCCAGCGGTTCTGAGCAACAGCAAGCAGTGCCTCTGAATGCAAAAACCTGGAGGGGAGGAGGGGCTCAGTGGGTAAGGGGGCCACAGCTGTCATTCAAGCAGGAGTGGGCTATCTCACTGCTACTGACCTCTGACAGACAGGCCACTCACCGGATGTCCCGCACCGCCTCCATGACGTTGATCTCACACATGAGCTTCTTTGTCACCCAGTCAAGGGCAGCCACATGACCCCGACGCCCTCCAAAAGCCAGGTGTCTGTTGGAGGTGGGGAACACGCAGGGTGTCAGTTCAGGGGAGCACTCTCAGACCATTTGAGGTCTGCTGCACACTAGCCCCTTCTCTCCAGGTGAGAGGAGGGATGCCACTATACATGCTCACCCTCACAGGCAAACAAATCAGGGGACACTCCCCACATCAACAACCCAAACACACACTGGTACGGCTGAGGTGGGCCTGGCTGAAGTGGTTAAGGAGACATGACCTCATCCCAGTTCAAGAGTCACTAGAATTCAACCTCACCTCCCAGTCTGAGAGTAATTCAACCTGTAGGGTCCAAACTGCCGCAAGTTCAAGTCAAAGTGCTGGGAGAGGGAAGAGTTAAGAAAGAATCAAGAGCTAATTAGCTCACTTCAGTAATTCCCTCTTCTAGTCCCTGCTTCGTTCTTGCCTGGCCCATTCCCAGCCTCAGGCCTACCTTGGCTGCACTTGCAATGTCAACAGCCTCCACGATGTCGGCCTGAAGGATCTTTGCTGTGTCTTCCCCATCATCCCCTTCCAGAAACCTGCGAGTGAGTGTTGGGGCTGCAGTCAAGCTTCCTAATATGAATCCAGTGTAGCAACATAAAAATGAGAAAGGGCAGTCCCATGAAGCAGGGGCTGGAGAGGCCCAGATTAGAGGCCACTCACCCAGGTTCCTCAGCAAGCAGCAGCTCACAACGAGCAGCTCTGACACTTATTTCCTCCTCCTCAGCTTCAGCCACCTCAAGCCGGCTTCGAGTTTTGGATTTAGAATGTGGCAGCTGTAACATCGTTGGTAGCGAAGGAATGGGGGGAAAAACAGACTCTATGTGGGGTCACATAAGAGCCACCTGGTCCCTCCTCCATCCCTCTCATCCAGACACTCCCTGTCTGCAACCCCATTCTCAGGCCGGTCCTCACCTTTTTGGATTTATCAATGCGACGGAACTTCTGAGCCACCTCCACAGGGACCGGGGCGGGGCCTGGGAATGGGTCCTGGGCCTGCGGCAGGGAGGAGACCCCAATTCGCTGGCAGGCTCGGATTGACCCCAACCTTCGCACCGTCAAAGCACAAGGCGACTTGCCCCACCACCCGAATAGGTCCCACGCTCACCCCGGACAAGCTCCGCTGAGGCTCCGGATTCCTCCGTTCTCGGGGTTTCTTCAGGATCTGGGGCTTCTTGGAGATACGAGACTTCTTTGGGATGTGAGTGTTCCTTGGCTTCTGGGGATGGAGCTCTCGATTCCCCTTCTTGTTACGAGGGGCCGCTGGAGAGGCTGCAGCAGCGCTCGGAGTGGTCTCTTCCTCCCAGTACCGCCGCGGTTTCTACGGGCAGATCAAGAGCCTTCAGGCTCCGCTGTCCGTGCCCCGTCCCTCCAACCCCGCGCTGAAAACTTCCCTTCCACCCCAGGAAGATCCCTACCTTCTTCTGGATCTGAGGTTTGTCTTTCTTGGGAGGGACATCCCTGCCCGGCTTGGGGGCAGCCTCCATCTAGCCCACCCTAAGGGCGGTACACGTGCAAACTCCTCTCAGCGGTCCCACAGTCGAACTGGGACCTCCCGGAAGTCCTCCAGCCCTCATCCAATCAGCGCTGTACCGGGTGTGAAGCCCTCAGCCGCCATCTTGAATGAGGGCAGCTAGCCCTTAACGGGCCTGGCGGACCTTGGCCCGGTTCTCCCGAGTAGCCCCTCATGCACGAGTAACAAAAGAAAGGCAAGTCCGGGACCGGGTGCCACGAAACAGTGCGGTTTCTTTTTCCATCCTCGTGTTCCCATCTTGCCTAAAATCTTCAGTTTGTTTTNAGGACCGGATGCCACGAAACAGTGCGGTTGCTTTTTCCATCCTCGTGTTCCCATCTTGCCTAAAATCTTCAGTTTGTTTTTTAAGCAGAACGCCGCTTATTAAACGGCCTGACTACAATTCCCAGCATGCATCAGATGATAGCATCCGGCAGCCTTTTCCCAGCATTCTTTGTTTACTTCCGGGTTTATGAATCCTGAAGGGAGAACGTGAGTGGGGCAGGGTTTCGGTTGAGAGGTTTGGCGTCTTCTTCCAACTGCTATCCCCTACGGCCTGGGTCGTGTGGATATACCGACCGGGAGAAGCTGCTGTGCCCCGAGAGGCTGCCTCTCAGTGCTGTATTTCCGCAGGCCAGACCCTTAAAGGGAGCTCGGGGACCTTGCAGAGTGTGAGACCCAGCGCCCCTCTCCCGCTCCCGCAGGCTTTCGTCTCCGCCATGGCTGAGCTGATCCAGAAGAAGCTACAGGGAGAAGTGGAGAAATATCAACAGCTACAGAAGGGTAAGGGAGCTGGGTCGGTGTAGCCTCGCCCCAATCCTTTCACTGACTCCGAACCCAAAGCCATACCAAGATGATGCTTTCTTCACCCGTTGACCCCCCGCCCCATCCTTGACTACTTCCTCAGCTCCATTTTCCTCTGACTAGGATTGTGGGGGTCGGGTAGCACATTTGATGTCTCTAATAAAGTCTTTCCTCCCACCCACACTCCCCAACCCCCAGACTTGAGTAAATCCATGTCAGGGCGGCAGAAGCTTGAAGCACAACTAACAGAAAATAATATCGTGAAGGAGGTGAGACTGGGACTTGTGGGGCAGGGAGGGACCTGTACTGGTAAGGATTATCTTATGTGTCCCACACCTCCATCAGGAACTGGCCCTGCTGGATGGGTCCAACGTGGTCTTTAAACTTCTGGGTCCCGTGCTGGTCAAACAGGAGCTGGGGGAGGCTCGGGCCACAGTGGGGAAGAGACTGGACTATATCACAGCTGAAATGTGAGTCTTTGTCCCACCACCCTGTGATGCGCCTGACACCACCATCAGAGTAGAGGTGTTGAGGAACCATTGTAGATTAGCTCTCTAGAGTAGCCCGATTGTCCACTTCCTCCCTCTCCCCTTTGCCCTCTCTTCCCTTCCCTAGATCTCTGGTTGTCCACTGACCTTTCTTGCCTTCAGCATCCTCAATAAGTCTTACTAATTTCTTATTTGCTTCTTTGTCTCTCTTGCCTCTCAGTAAGCGATATGAATCCCAGCTCCGGGACCTTGAGCGGCAGTCAGAGCAGCAGAGGGAGACCCTTGCTCAGCTGCAGCAGGAGTTCCAGCGGGCCCAGGCAGCAAAGGCAGGGGCTCCTGGGAAGGCCTGACCCTATGATGGGGGGTGGGGTGGGGGGGAACCCAGGCAGCTTTAGGGTCTATACTGTAGCTAATAAAATGTGAAAACACCTGGCTGTTTTCTGACCAGCCACTTCTGTCATAATTGTCTCCATCCATCCCCCAACCCCTTCCACCTGATATATACACCACCTGTTACCTTAGGTCTGAATCCTTGCAACTGGAATCTGTGTGACAAGAATAATCCATCCTTTCTTGAGACTAAAATCAGAAATATCTCAAACCTCCTCGTCTGTATATAAAACCCTTAACTTGGTTGGCATGCCCCTTTAGGAAACATGAGGGCATTTATGATGCAACAGTTGTGAAGATTAGTTGAAGAACTGTTCTCTAACCTGGCATCCCAGGATGAAAGGTGGTGACCCTCAGTGCTATGATTTAGTATCTCTTTTCCTAGAATTTGTTTAAATGTAGCTTGGACTGATTTAAATCCTAACATGTACTTTGTGATGCTGTAAGTCCTCCAAGTCTGTACATTGCCCACAAAGTTCTTCCATGTCTCTGTCCTAAAATTATTTCTTACAAATTTCCAGCCAGAGGAATTCTTTATACTGATCACTTTAACTGAGTGGCTAGTACTTGACATGGGTCTGTGACGACTAAGGAGAAAAATTTAAGCGCAAATATAGGGACCAGGGATGGAGAAGTTGCTAGGGAGGAATAAACCATTCTGAGGATACTGTTTTTCAGCAACACTTCACTTTCAGATCTTCACGGGAATAGAAAATACTGTCCCGTCATGTTCCATGGTATCTAAATTTCAGCCAGCTCCCCACCCCCACTCCCAGCAGCTGGTACACACACACTGCAAGGACAGGAATAGTACTCAGGTAGTGTTTTGGTTTATTTTAGTGTCATCACAGTGACAGAAACCCTAGAATAGGAAAAGGAACTCCTATTAGAACCTACTTCTTGTCATCCTTTCTCCCTGGGACTCAGAGCCTCTAGGTCTTTCTTCTCCCCCTACTTCTAGGTCTGCCTTTGGCCCTTGGCATGCTAGGACGTGGCCAGGAATCAGCCCTTTTCCCACAACTAGCCATGTATTACATTCATGTAAAGTGAGGAGCTATATATGGGTAATCCAACTTCATTACCAAGATTACCAGTTCCCACAGGGCAGGATCTCTTGGCTGTCTGACAAACCATTGGCACTTCACTGCCCCAGGGTGGTTGGCCATCTTTCTGGATTTCTTCCCAACGCAACATAACTGCCACCATTTCAGCATGGCTACCCACATCTGGTGTGGTCACCAAGAGTTCTGTGAGCCAAGAGAGCTGCTTCCTCAGAACAGTGCCCGGGCAATCTTCCTTCCTGTGGCCTTGATCCTGGGAAAGGACCCCCCTCCTCCCTCGCTTGGGGGAGTTGCTGGCACAGAGGGGCCGCTGGCAAGGCCAGGTGTGGCAGTAGAGGGCCTTCGCCGCTGCCGCAGGAGGAAATCGTGTGATGCTCTGTCCATAGCATAGAAGACATTGGCCGAGGATGGGATGGTCAGCTCTGTAGGTTCAGAGAGGGGGCGTCAAGCACAAACACGGTCGTTCCCCCAACCACCACCTGGATGTAGAAGCATTCCCACTGATGGGCACCTCTCTCCTCCCAAGTCTGCCTCTGACCTCGCTCCCCTGGCAGCAGCTGCACTAGCTCATACTCCGAAGCCACTGCAGAATCGCGATTGTTTTTCTTAAGGACACGACTGATGACACTTGGAGCCTTGTCCTGGCTTGTCACCTGGCAGGACAGGAAACCAAAAGAGCAATAAATTGGCCAGAATGACACCTCCTTCCCATCCTTCTCCAACCCCAGCTACTGATCTCCAACCAAAAAAGGCTACCCGTGTCCAATACTTTTTTTTTTTTAGAGAGACAGTGGAAGGGAAAGAGGGAGGGGGAAGAGACAGAAACATTGATGTAAGAGACACATCGATTGGTTGCCTCCTATATGTGCCCCCACCGTGCCCAGATCAAATCTGCAACCTAGGGAAGTGCCTTTGACTCGGAATCGAATCCGCGACCCTTCGGTGTGAGAGCCAATGCTCTAAGCCACATGGGCCAGGGCTGTCCAATACTTTAGAGTGAATAGGGAAACCCAATGTGCTGGCTCCCTGTCTTCCACAAGTCAGCCCACATGGTGCCCAGTGAGATAGGGCTGCTTCCCTGTGGGGAAAAGTGCTATTCGTTATGAAAATGTAGTGTGGGCACCAAAGGTTCAAAGTGCAGCAGCTAGTAATGCTTTAAAATAAAACAGCTGTTAAAACCAAAGGTCAGAATGAAAACTACAGTCATTCTTCCATTTGGGTTCAAACCTAAGACATCTATAGGTATTAAAGCACCATCCTTCCCCCCACCTCCCAGCCCACAGCTCCCTCACCAAGATGCTCTTGTAGACACTGCCATCTTCCCCAAGCTCCATCTGGACTCGGATGATTCGACAATCGGAAGCCCCTGGCCCAGACCCCCCTACCCCAGATGCAGTCCCCCTGGAGGCCCCTTCTGCACCCCCACTGAGTGGGGAACCACAGGAGGCTGAGCGGCGGTGACCTCGAGAAGGCCTAGGGGAGGATGCTGGTGGGGAGAGGTGGCTGGGGCCAGCTGGACTGTGCAGAGATGGGGTGCCTTCCAGGGCGGAGTCCAGAGATGACACAGATGGCCACTTCATGTGCTGGGGACAAACAACATGGTGGACTGGTGTGAAGGCACAGATGTCAAGGAAGATAAATTCACAGAGTCAGGGTCAGTGTTGAGGTCAGAGGTCAAAAGCACAGCTCACCTGGGCCAGCCGGGTCAATAGAGGAGCAGGGCCTCCAGGTACCTCATCGCCCCCAACACTGGGCCGGTCCCAGGAGACAAGGGGGCTGGGACCTCCAACAGAGCCCAGAACCCTGGAGTGGCACGAGATTGAGAGGGTCAGAGGAAGAAGTCAGGTCCCCAAGAGACTAACGCCCAACCGCTGACTCGCTCACTCTGTCCACTGTGAGATGACCAGCGTGGGCCGAAGCACTCGAGGGGCAGGAGGGTCACCAGTACCAGGTGGCTCCACCTCACAGGACACTCGGTGGCTGAGGAGAGGGACATTGGGCAGAGGTCAGGATGTGACACACGAATCCCCATACCCTGGTGAGCCCTAAAGTCCCAACTTCACCCAGCCAGTCACCTCTGGGCCTCCGTCAGTGGCCGGAGCCCCTGTAACCACTGCTGGATGTCGGGGTCGCGTCGGAGGTCATAGCCACGACATTCGTTCTGGAGCCGCCGCAGCTCAGAAAGGACAGCGAACTCCTAGAAAGGGACCCTCAGCCTGTAGGAGCCAAAACTCAGGGACCCCGACTTTCCCCTCCTCCTCCCCTTCCTGGGACTGGCTAGGGATGTCTAGCACCCAACCCAAGCACCCCCTCACCTTCCTCCGCTTGTCAAAATTGATGTATCCGTTCTGCAAGGATAAGGGGGTGGGGTGAGAGTCCCAACCTTGGCACAGGGAAAGTATGTCCCCCCAAACCTAAGCAACCCCCACTGTACCCCCCTCTCTGACTTCCCCCCACCCCACCTACCATTCCCTAAGTACTCTACCTTACCCTCCAAACTGAGTGCCTCAGGTAGAAATTGTGTCCACGTTACAGAAAACTGGGGCTCAGAGAGGATTAGGAACTTGGCCAAAAGTCTCAGTATTCATTTACTTAACAAACCGTATATGCTTAAGTTTCAAGCATGTTCTAAGCACTCACCAAAGATTAATTCATCTAACCTTCATAGCAGGTGTAGACACTGTCACTAGCTTCCCATTTACAGGTCACTAAGGCATACCAAGGTTAAGGAGCTCGCCAAAGCAACAGACCAGAACCCTGGCACTGGCTGGAGCCCTGGTAAGACCTGAGCGCTCATGCCTGCAGCCCCTTCCAGGAGAAAAGTCTGTCTGACCCCGAGGCCACCTGTTCAGCTGTCACACTAACGCACACACCAACCTCAAGCTCATCCTTGGAGGCTGCATCCAGCATCACCAGGTCCTTCAAGAAGGTGCCGAGGTATGGGACCACACCCTGAGGCCAGAGGTCAGTCAGACACCCCTGCCACTGACTGCAGGGCTCTCCAGCCCTTGCACTTCCCATCCCCTGCCTCAGAGGACAAAGTGAATTGTCCTCACCCCGCTGTGCTTTTTCCTGCCCCTCAAACTGCTCCCCCCACACACTCCTGTACTCCTTCACAACCACCCTTCGGGCACTCACCCCACCCCGGGAGCCAGACTTCGGGGCCTTCTTGGAATTTGGCTCCAGAGAGGGCTGCACCTTCACCTCCTGGGGATGACAGAACAGGGAGAAATGGGGGCGGGAGGGGGCAGGGATGGCTAGGAATGCCAGGGAAGAGGGCTCACCTGCAGGAGTAGCTCCCGGCTCTGGGAATAATTATCCTCCTCGGAGAAAATCTGGCAGAGGCCAGAGAAGACCCTGAGGCTGTCCCTGGGGGAAGGAGGGCAACAGGTTTGAGGATGGCCTGGCTCAGCACCCCTCTCCCAGCCCTCACCCCAGCCCAGTGCCCCATCCTCCTCACCTGGCTGCTTCTCCCCAGGCTGCCCGAAGCCTGTGGATAGGGCTGGACTGCAGGGCCGACACCACGGCATAAACTGAAGAGAAGTTTCGGAGTAGACGGCACTCCTGTGGGGGGTCACAGAGGGAGGCCACAGCTCTGGGACCTCTCTTCACACCGTGGTCCCCAACAGGGCCAATATCTCTTACCTCTGCCACTCGGATCCACTTCTCCAGAAGCCGGGCCCGCTGGGGCGGACGGAGTGGCCGTATGGTCACCTCCGCAGGCTCTTCTCCGGTTGAGATAGCCCCCAGGACAGAGCTGACCACTGCCCCTGCCACCTTGTTGAACTGTGTGACCGTAGCTCGCACAGACGGGCAGAGGTGGGAATGTCCCGGCCGGTCTCTGTGACCCCACAGGCCCCCCAGGCACTGAGAGGGAACCAGATTGAGAAACAGCTCCTGTGGGGAAGAGGTTAGAGGTTAAAGTTCACAGTCAAGAGATTCAGCCTTCCAATATTAGGGGTGTGAGGATCTTGGGTGGCCAAGGAACCAGAGGGGCACAGGATTTGAAGGGTAACAACCAAGGGGAAATGGGGAAAGGTCAAAACTGGGTGGACAGAGGAGGTGGGAAGGGTTGGAAGGAAAGGATCAGGAGTCAGGGAAAGGTTAGTAAGGGGGCATGGGGCATGGGGTCACAGGTCAGGGTCTCACCGCATCTAGCAGGGTCAGCTGTTCGGCCAAGTGGTCAGCGAGGAACACCAGGACATCCGTGGGGTCAGCAGGGGGATCGCCGGGGAGGGCCAGGGGCTTAGGAAGGTCGGGGGTCTGGGGATCCACCCGGGACCTGAGGTTGCGGATGAGGTCAGCGCTGCCCCCCCCAACACCCTCCCCTGCTGCATACCCTGTCCGAAGCAAGAAGCTCTCAAGCCGGTCAAGCTGACCCTTGACCTCAGAGCCAAAATCCTCAGGGTGAGAGGCCAGCCAGGTTGACAGCACAGAGATGGCTACCCTGGAAGAAGGGGATCAGCCAGGGGTCAGATGTCAAGCTGCAGCTTGGGCAGAGGGGGACTGTGAGGTTAAAACTTAGGGGTCGCTCACCCTTTTGTCCTCTCTAGTTCATCAGTAGGATGAGATTCAAGGGCTTCCAGCCTGAAGAAGGGAAGAGATTCTGTTTGTTCATTTTTTCCCAACCCCCCAGTGGTTTTGAGTATTTTGGTAGGATATTCTGGCTTTAGAAAGTCCAGACACCTCTATAACCCTCGGTCACTTATGACCCTGACCTGTCAGCCATAAGCCCTAGCAGGGTAGGCGTGGAGGTGAAGGCCCGGTGGGTGGCCAGGAAGGTTGCTGTGAAGGTCACGTCAGCCCCTGAGGTCCGAATGTCCAGCAGGTGTCTGACCAGAGCCTCCAGAGTGCCGGCTCGGAGCCTTCGGGAGGAACGCGGGGGAGGTGTCGGGGCCTGGGAAGACAGGGCACATCACTGCCTCTTTCTTCAACTCTGCCCCTAGATTTCTGGGGAAATCCCAAGACCTAGGAGATAAAGCAGGCTCACTGTATTAAGATTCAGAGAGGGCAAAAGATTGATGAAAGTCACACAGCAGAGTCCAGGTCTCCAGACCTCCAACCCAGCACTCTGGCCAGAAAGTTAGCCATTCTGGGAGTAATGAGTCACAGGTAAGAAGCCAAAGTTATGATCTCACCAAGGGATCAAGAGACTGATACTGGCGGCTTGTGACAGTAAAAGTGGCACCATCCTCCTCCTCATCTCGGACAGACACAGGGGCCTGCAGGAGTACAGAAGGAGAGGTCAGACAGGTCCCCACCCCTCCCCCACTGCCCCCAG